GCTGGCACCTCTGCCCCTCTCCAGCAGCCACGCCGCTGCAGCCACCCGGGTTTATCCCAATTTCCCTGTTTGCTTGATTCCAGCGCTGAGTTTGGGGATCATCAGCTCTGCAGGGAGCGTTAATTACTGCGCTCGTTTGTCGTCGTTACCCCAACGAGCGGAGAGCCGGGTGGATGTAATGTCAGTCAGATGGAGAGGGGATGAATTGCCCCATTCCTGCCATTGGGAAGGTGGGGGGTAATCCTGGTGTGGGAATTGCCGTGCCGGATGGGGACCACCGCATCGTCTCCCGATGTGCCAGGCGAGTCCTCGCCATCGCGCACGGGCCGGGACCAGAGGTCTCCAGGGAAAACCAACACGAGGGGCCGTCCCCTCCCTCCAGCTCCAGATGGCACTGCTCGGCAGTGGATCATCTGGACCAGGGATGGTCCAGGGATGCTCACCAGGGACCCTCTGGCTGCCATCCCTTGGCAGGACACGTTGCTGGGGGTCCCCCCCAGCGATCGCTCCGATGCCGGGGGACCCACCTTGCCGATGACATCGTTGCGGCTCAGCCTGTCCTTGTCCATGACGGTGATGACGATGGTCGTCGCGCGCAGCCGCTCCGTGGGGATGTCGAAGGCGAAGGACTCGTTGAAGACGGGGTTCAGGCACCGCTTCATCACCACCGTCTTCTTCTTCTCCACCCGCTTGTCCTTGTACATCAGCCACACCTTCACGTAGGGGTCTGGGGGGGGACACACAGGAGCAGCTCTCAGCCCCGGCTGGGGGTCGGGTAGCCATGGCCGGCGTGGCAGGAGCCGGGGCTCGTACCTGACGTCCCCCCGATGTCCATGGCTTTGAGGTTACGCGCTTTGATGATGTTCACCACGATGGAGTTGGCAGAGGGGTTGTAGCACAGTGACAGCAGCAGCTCCCCACGGCTTCCCTGCGGGACCCACGGAGGCTGTTAGGTGGGCCCCGGCTGGGGGTCGGGTAGCCATGGCCGGCGTGGCAGGAGCCGGGGCTCGTACCTGACGTCCCCCCGATGTCCATGGCTTTGAGGTTACGCGCTTTGATGATGTTCACCACGATGGAGTTGGCAGAGGGGTGGTAGCACAGTGACAGCAGCAGCTCCCCACGGCTTCCCTGCGGGACCCACGGAGGCTGTTAGGTGGGCACCCCGAAAACACGGCACCCAGCCCAAGCCCTGACGGCACCCAAACCCCCCGTGTCCCACCACGGGAGGGAGGGGCTGGGCTGAGACACCCCCCGAGCTGTCCCAAGGGTGGACATGGAAAGTGGACATGGAAACTCAGGGCAGGAGGAATGTCCCTGGTGGGACGTTTTCTGGTCTTGCTGGAGGCAGGAGGAAAAGAAAACTCTCAGTTTAGATGTACCTGAAACAGCTCTTTTTGACTCAAAATGAGACCCTTGCTACTCAGTGCCTTGAGATAAGGATAAAGATTTGGGAAGAGAAGCATCTCCATTGGATGTGGAATGCTCTCCCAGAGCAGAAAACGTCCCCGATGGGGTAAGCAAGAGGGTGGCCGGATTGGGACGCTCTGGGAACGGGGTGGGGGTGGGAGGGGGACCAGGGCCTTACGCTGCCATCGCTGCACGGCTTGAGGTCCTTCCAGAAGGTTTGCATCTGGGTGAGATCCACCTTGTTGAGAGGGATGGACACCTCTCCGATGGGATCGTTGCGGCTGAAGCGGTCGTAGTCCAGGACCTGGAGGTACAGCACCCGCTGCACCACCTTCTCGTAGGGGAACCCTGTGCCGGAGACGGAGGCGATGAGGAGCCGCCGCGGCGCCGGTGCCGGTACCGCCCCGCCTTGGCAGTGTTGTTGGGGAGGTGTTGGCATCAGGCAGCGGATGGGGAGCAGACCACGGCACCGGTGGCATGGGGTGCACCCATGGGTGCCTGCTGGGGGGCGGAAGGAGCCTCCCCGTGTCCCTTGTATGGAGCAAACACCTCCAACTTGGTCTTGATGGCTTGGCCAACCTGTCCCATCACGGACGGCCACCGCGTCGGCAGCTCGTGTTGAGCTGATCCAACCCAGGACAGAGGGTCCTACAATGGCTTCGCTCCCACCCCAGTTCACTCCAGTCCATCCCAGTCCCTACCTTCGAAGAGGAAGGTCTCATTCCAGTGTGGATTGAGGTTCTTCCGTTTCACCTTGGTCTCCAACTTGTGCTTCTTGTCGGGGAGCAGGTAGATCTTGACGAAGGGGTCGCTGGTGCCGCTGAAATCCTTGGCTGGCAGCTCCTGTGCCTTCATGATCTTGACGGTGAGGGTGGACTCCTGGAAGTTGTATCCGACGCTGAACTGGATGCGGCCCAGGTTCTCCCGGCTGACGCCATCGTGGCCCTCGTCATCCTCGGAGCCCGGGGAGAGCTGTGGTGGGGGAAAAGGGTGGTGAGCGCAGCGCTGGGGGCCGGCAGGGACCACCAGCGGGGTCTGCACGCCCCTGTCTCTCTCCGTTTCAGCACCTGAACTTGGTTCACACCAGCCCAC